TTGGGATATTGTGGGAGCTCTTAGGGAGGGATGAGGGTTCTTTGGACACAGGTGAAAATTTAAGTAACTTTTTTGCAACAGTTCATGACTGTTATGCTAAGAAGAAGTAAGAAGGGAAAGCCTTTTGGCAATCTTGGTTTATTTCTTTAAGATTTCGGGCAGTGTGGGATGGATGGAATGGAATGGAATGTGAACTTTGTGCAAGTTAAATGGGACAGCCTTCCATTGTTCATCTGTCTACCTCTGTAACTGAGATAAAAGCCTACAGTTTTGTAGAAAATTTGTTCTCATGGTTTTCATTTCATACTTGAATCATCTGGGCTTCTGATCAGTTCAGCTTTATATCATTTTTTTTTTTTTTGAGACAGTTCTCACTGTGTCGCCCAGGCTGGAGTGCGCAGGTGGTTGATCTTTCACTGCAAGCTCCGCTCCGGGTTCACGCCATTCTCCTGCCTCAGCCTCCCTAGTAGTTTGGGACTACAGGTGCCCACCCCACGCCTGCTAATTTGTATTTTAGTAGAGACGGAGTTTCACTGTGTTAAGCCAGGATGGTCTCGATCTCCTGACCTTGTGATCCGCTTCCTTGGCCTCCCAAAGTGCTGGGATTACAGGGCGTGAGCACCCGCGCCTAGCCTATCATTCTTAGGAGATATGGATATCTTAACAAGTGAGGGCTACTGTCCAACTTAAGCTCCCCCACTCCTCCCTGTTAACGTTTCTTTGTCGTCACAGAATATGCATGACGGATGCTAGGATTATAGCCATGAGCCACTGCATCTAGCCTACTCAATGGTTTTTAACAGCCAAAGATTTACTGTTGAATGGACAACTTTATTTTACTATTTTATGTAGATTGTTTTTAGCTTTGGTATTAGGGTAAACCCTTGAACAGTGTGGAGGTCAGGCACCAACCCCCGTGCAGTCAAAAAGCCATGTACAACTTTTGATTCTAAAAACTTGACTACTAATAGCCTACGGTTGACCAGAAGCCTTAGCAATAACATAAACAGTTGTGAACACATATTTCACATGTTATATGTATTATATACTGTATTATAATGTAAGTTAGAGAAAAGGAAATATTAAACCATAAGGAAGACACATTTACTATTTATTAAGTGGAAATGCATATAAAGGTCTTCATCCTTATCATCTTGAGTAGACTGAGGAGGAGAGGAGGAGTTGGTCTTGCTGTCTCAGGGATAGCAGAGATGAAAGTAAGTCTGCATATAAGCGGATTCTGCAGTTCAGACTAGTGTTCAAGGGACATCAGTACAAGGACAGCAAAAATGAGTAGGGGGCAATGAGTAGCTAAGTTCGTTTAAAAGTTCGCAGTATTGGATTCTTCAGTCCTGACCCATTATCTTTTTACCTTTGATCAGAAGTTGATGAAAAGTACATTTCTTGGCAAACTAGATTGATAGTTCCTGTCCTGAGGGTGTGGGACAATACTTTTGAATTTTGAGTTTATTCAGAGCATTTCGCTAGAAACCAACACTGAGAATCTAACAGGGTAAGGCAGTGCCTAGTCTGACCTCTGCCTGTAAGGTTAGGCCACTGGCTGGGTACATACCATTGCATCCTGTTGTCAGTTTAATGATCTTGCAGAAGGCTTCTCCATGAATGTTTGCCATTTAGTGTCAGGCCTTATACTAAGTTTTTACAGACATTTAATCCTCATGGCCTTTTGTGGTAGATCTTATCCTGATTTTGTACGTGATGAAACTGGCATGGAGAACATCCGTATTTGCCCACTATTGTAAGTTAGCAGAGGATTGACGTTAGCTGTAGCCTTTGGGGCCGGCTGAAACTAGCTTTATGACTTTTTACTTGAGGGAAGGGGGGGTAGGGAGCTGTTGTAAAGGGCAACTGAACATTAGGACTTGAACTGAGGGTCTAGGCGGAGACCCTCAAGAGCTCTGGCACTGCCTTCTCTTCGTGCTGGATGACCTCACGTAAGCCCAGATCCTTTCGGAGCCCAGTGATTACATGGAGAAGAGGACCCTCCCTGGCATTTTCACTTGGCTCAGGACAGAACACCTGAGAAAATCCTTAGACCAAGCTCGTCCAGCTGAAGACAGTTTTTCCAGTGTGGCCCAGGGAAGTAAAAATATTGGACGCCCCTGACTACACCAAGGATGTGTTTCTGTAGACAGAGCAGGTAGACCTGGGGGAGAGGAGCCCCGAGAGCTAGGAAGGGACCAGATGAGAGAGGTTATATTTCTACTTCAGTTGTCTGCCATGGGGCAGGGACACATGGTGGTGAGAACCCTGGCTTTTTTTTTTTTTTTTGGCATAGACATTGCCTTTTTTTTTTTTTTTCTTTTTTTGAGACCAAGTTTCACTCTTGTCGCCCAACTGGAGTGCAATGGCGCGTTGTCGGCTCACTGCAATCTCTGCCTCCCAGGGTTCAAGCGATTCTCTTGCCTCAACCTCCTGAGTAGCTGGGATTACAGGCTTGCGCCACCACGCCTGACTAATTTTTGTATTTTAGTAGAGACGGGATTTCACCGCTTTGGCCAGGCGGGTCTCAGACTCCTGACCTCAGGTGATCCACCTGCCTTGGCCTCCCAAAGTGCTGGGATTACAGGCATGAGCCACCGCATCCAACTAACATTGCCTTTTCTTAACCAAAAGTTTTGTTTATTTTAAATCAAGGTTGTATGTGCAAATTGAAGAGCCAGCTTGTCCAGCGAGGCTTGGAACAAAAACAGGTCTGCCAACATTTCCCTTTAATGAGGCAATCACTTTCTATTCTTTTGGTATTTGCCTCTGTATATCTAAATGATATACTTGTGTTACTATTTCCCTCTCGCATTTTTTGGCTGAGTGTGGGTGACACTTCTGGGACTACTGGGCCTTTGTCTTGGGTAGGAGTTCACTAGGGGTGACTTTTGCTGTCCTCAGTCCCCGTTTGTGACTCTCCCTTATCCCATTTATGGTAATAATATTTGGAGACATTTTCAGTTGTCACAGTCGGGGGATGGTACTGACCAGAGAGGCTGCTGTAAGCATCCTACAGTACACAGGGCAACTCCACAACAGAAAATACCTGGGCTGAAATGTCAGTAGTGCTGAGGTTGAGAAACCCTGACATAGGGTGATCTGGTTGCGCTCTTTCCTTGGAGGAACCCCAGAGAAGCTTCAGAAGGCTAAAAGCCTGACTCATGAAAGTTCTAGGGCTCAATGGGGGAAGTGGTCACCACATATTTTAACCTGACTGTTTTCAGCCTAGACAGCCCATCCTTTGGGTGGCTTCAGTAGGCATGGGTTTAGTTACCACAGTCCCCTGACAACACAGCTCATATTTCAGTTACCGTGGTCTACTAACTGAGTAACTATAAAGCAAAGCCTTCAGTGTTAGCTCTTCAGTCCACAGATCACCTTTAGAAAACAATAGGCACATCATGATGGGTGATCTGTCATGTCACTTCCTTCAAAGTCTGTTGGTGATTGGCTACTGTACAGCTGTTACTCAGTTCACTCCAGATGAGAAAGCTTTTGGTTGTGTTGCCTTCTTACCTTCCAGTGGGAAAGATACTACTTAGGCTAACTTTCTGTACTACTGTGGGATTATGCTCCAGTTCTTTTTGGGGCTTGAGTGAAAATGAAAATTTGCTTTTTACCATCAAACACAACTTTCATTAATCCAGCCAATGCACAAACAGATAATTTTGATTTTTTTTTTTTGAGACAATGCCTCACTCTGTCACCCAAGCTGGGGTGAAGTGGTGTGATCTTGGCTCACTGCAACCTCCCCCTCCCAGTTCAAACGATTTCCTGCCTCAGCCTCCCAAGTAGCTGGGATTACAGGTGAGCACCACCACACCTGGCTAATTTTTATTTTTATTATTATTTTTGAGACTGTCTTATTCTGTCACCCAGGCTGGAGTGCAGTGGTGCGATCTTGCCTCTGCTACCTCTGCCTCCTGGGTGCCAGTGATTCTCCTGCCTCAGCCTCCTGGGTAGCTGGGACCTACAGGTACATGCCACCATGCCCGCTAATTTTTTTATTTGTAGTAGAGACGGCGGTTTCACCATGTTGGCAGGCTGGTCTCAAACTCCTGACCTCGTGATCTGCCTGCCTCGGCTTACCACAGTGCTGGGATTGCAGGTGTGAGCCACCATGCCAGCCACACTCAGCTATTTTTATATTTTAGTAAAGACGGGGTTTCACATGTGGCCAGGCTGGCTTGAACTCCTGACCTCAAGTGATCCACCCGCCTTGGCCAGGGTGCTCTTGAACTCCTGGCCTCAAGTGATCTACCCCCCTTGGCCTCCCAAAGTGCTGGGTTACAGGTGTTAGCCCTGCACCTAGCCATTATTTGATTTTTAAAGCTCATTATCGTCTATGGAGTTGATAGGCCATTGATGCTATATCCAGAGATCTTGCTTTTTTTATTTTTTTTTATTTTTTTTTTCGGAGGTGGAGTCTTGCTCTGTCGCCCAGGCTGGAGTGCAGTGTGTGCTCTCGGCTCACTGCAACCTCCATCTCCCGGGTCAACGATTCTCCTGCCTCAGCCTCCTGAGTAGCTGGGACTACAGGTGCA